CATTCAAGCTTAAGGCTTGGAAGAGGCTGGAAGAGGCTGCCTCTGTGCCCTGTGTCTGATTGTGTCTCCTCCATGCCAACCCCTGGCTACTTGGAAATAATGAGAGAGTGGCTGAATATTTCATTCATATCAGGAATATTTGCCAAATGAAGAAATTGCTTAACAGCTGTTCATCATAATGAGTTTCTTAGCATTTTTGAATTTGGCCAAAATAGAGGTGATTTTATGGCCATCATTAGGTCTGGTTTGCCCATGGTGTATTTATAGTAAGTTACTATTTTGTCCTCCACTCTCTTATTTTTTCCTATAGTACCACATCTGAAATGAATTGAAATTGTGCAACACTAGAAGTGTTCCTAGTGGTTAGGGACTAGTCTAGGGACTGATAATTTTCTGTTAAGGCAGATGTTGGCATCCACATGTTAGATCCCGCACCTTATACTAAGTGAATTTTTATAGCATTACTTTTTTGAGAAAGATCCTCCAAACATACCTGTGTGGGGGGTGGGTAAGGCAGAATCATCCGATTTTATGGATGAAGAAGCTGAGATATTTCCTGCTTCAAATTCTGTGGGTAAGGAGGCAAGAATTGAACAAGTCTTGAAAGGGGTTTACCTGTCATCACAAGGTGGAAGAGCTGAGAAACCAGGACTGGCCTCTTCAGCCTTCCAGCAATGAGTCCCGTTGCAAAGAAGCAGCTTGATGAAGGGGCCAGGGGCTTTGGAAGGAGTGGTGGACTTGAGAGCAAGTCTCCCATACTCCCTGACTCTCTGTTTTCATGGATACAATGTGGGGCTTACTGGGGCAATCATAATAATGTGAGAGTTGTCATGAAGCTTACAATGAGATAATGGATGTGGAAGCATCTGGCACATCTTCTGCCATCTCTACTGGATGAGAAAAGGTTTGAGAATGTCATGAGTCAGCCTAACTACTGAGCATCATCATTATTATGCCTATGCATAGTGAGAGGTTGCCCTGTACCAGACACTATGCCAAGAGCTTCACATGAATCTTCCCTTGTAATCCTCATGGCAACTTTATGAAGTAATTATTATCCCCATTGGATTGATGAGAAAACTGAGGTATGGTGAGATTGAACAGCTTGCTCCAACTATACATTGACAAAAAGGGTGAGTCAAGATTCCTTGTAAATACTCCTTATAAATAAGTCACAGAGCTGAAAGGAACCTAAGAAAAATCACCTGGGTCATAGGCTCAATTTGCATGTCTTGTAACTTAAGATCTTCATTGCAGGAAATATTTTACTAATACAGTAGTCCACCTCTTTCATGAGGAATATGTTCTAAGACCCACAGGGGATACCTGAAACCATGGATTGTACCAAAACCCTATACATACGGTTTTCTTCCTGTACAGACATTCCTATGATAAAGTTTAATTTAAAAATTAAACACAGTAAGAGATTAAAACAATAGCTAATAATAAAATATAACAATTATAACAATAGACTGTAATAGAAGGTTTGTGAATGTGGTCTCTTCCCGCCTCCCTCAAAATATCTTCTTGTACTGCATTCACCCTGAACTCACCCTGTACTGCACTCACAACTGCACTATGTTGATGTGAAATGATAAAATGCCTACATGGTGAGATGGATTGAGGTGAATTGACGCAGGCATTGTGACCTAGTATTAGGCTACTATTGACTTTCTGACAGTAAGTCAGGAGGATCATCTTCTTCCTGACTGCCATTGACCATGGGTCACTGAAACTGCAGAAGTGAAGCTATGGATAAAGGGGGGCTACTGTAAATAAAAATACTGAAGTTTGTGAAACATTTGCTTTTGGTTATGATTAGAGTAGATTCAAGCTTATTCTTTTTTTAAAGTATTTTTTTTATTTTATTTTAGAGAGAGAGAGAGTGTGAGCAGGGGAAGGGCAGAGAGAGGGAGAGAGAGAATCCCAAGTAGGCTCCATGCTCTCAGTGCAGAGCCCAACATGAGGCTTGATCCCACAAACTGGGAGATCATTGACCTAAGCTGAAATCAATAATTGGATATTTCACCAACTGAGCTACCCAGGCGTCCCTCAAGGTTATTCTTATAATATTTTTTATAATTATAGTCTTGTGATAATTCCCATTTGTTTTATGCTTTAAAATAATTTCTTGGGAGAAGAGAAAGGGGCCGAGTATCCCTAATGGGCTGGACTCGTTGACCAGGTTGACTTGTGTAAATGCATTCTGTTTGTTTGATTGGCCTGATGGAAATAGGGTATGGCCGTTGGCTCTCCAGACATGGGCCAACATCTGTTAAAAGCTGCAGAAAGGAAATGAGGGAGTTCACTCAGCTATGCCCTATCTGTTGAGCCCTGGAGAGTTCAGCCCTGACTTTGCTTTTTTTGAGCTAAGTCCAACTGAAAGTACCACAAATTCCATTCCACTTATTACTTTGACAAAATTTAACTTAGCAAATCCTTCTGCAAATATGGGTGAGAGATTCAGTCACAAAGCCCAGCTGATACAGGAGATTGAGGAGGTTCCAGCTAGTATTCTTTTTAGTGGGCAAAGGCCACACACTTACTAGAATATTAGCACCATGACAGGAAAAAGGTGATGTTTAGAAATAAAAGTGACAACTTCCGACTGACATTTCTTGATATGTGGGGCTTTCTGTATGTGATTGTTTTCCACTTGGAGTAGGAAAAAGTGGGATGTCAATAAAGGCCGAGGGGGGTGTCCAGTACACCTGAGGATGGGAGGGCACAATTGTCCTCACAATTTTACAATAATAGAGCCCTTATAATGCATGCATTTCACTGACAATTTATATACTCCAGTTCTTTGAAAACTAGTAAAAACAGAATCCACGGCACATTCAAGAGTAACAAGTACAGGACAATGAGGCAAAATTCTGAAGAGAAAACAGGATTTTCAAATATATGTTGATAAGCCTAATGAAAAATCAACGGTATTCCAAATACTTTAGGCCAAGCCTGTACAAACATATGGGATTTGTCGGTACAGGCTAAGCAGAGAGAAAATTTGAATGATTACCCAGATAATTTGATTCTGAAAGAGTTTGCTTGGATCATTCAAACCAGCATTGGCCCTCTTCCTATTCTTCCCCTGCCCCCACCCCCACCCCTAGTTTTTCCCCAGAATATTTTTGTATCCACAATATTGCTATACAACTATATAAACCCTCCGTTTGACTTTGATCATGTAAACATAGGCCTTGGATACATATATACATACAAAATACAATAGATGTTCCAAGAGAACTGGATGGGTGAAGTACACTAATCTGAAGTGTTTTCCTCTACTGTGAAGCTCCAGCCAGAGGCAAAGTATGTGTTAACAGTCATCAAGAGAATTAACTTAGATACATTAAAATCTAAAATCCTGGCTGTTATTTCAGGGGACTGAACTATTTGGATGATTGTCCAGACCCAACTGTGGATATATTCAAGTACATAGGCATATTTTTGTGTATGTTGAGGCCATATGGATCCAAATAATTCCAAGTTCAAATATTTTCCTCTTTACTATTACCTATCCTTGAAATCTTAGAATACCTGCCTTCTCTTTAGTTGGATTCCGGTGTCAGTTAGGGGTTCTATGAGCAAGAGTGTCTATTCAGTGCTATCCTTCCTTCTGGGGAGTCAGAATGGGGGATTGGGATGGATTATAAGAGAAAGAAAAGAGCTGCTCTCAAGGAGTTTACACTCTCATTTTATACTCAGTTGTTATTTTATTGCCAAACAGGAGGATGAAGAGAATATTCAAATGTGGAGATGGTGGTTGACTCAATGGTAATGAGCTTAATTTTTGCAAATGATTTTTAATTTTTAAATGGCATTCAGCAGATAGAATCATATTGGCTATATAACACAAGTAAAGTGGTATTTGGACAATTAACTGATCTACTTGATTCTCTTTAAAGAGCTAATTATAAGGTGTGCATTTTATCCATGGCTATGTGTAATGATTCAATAAACTCAATAGCTGTTAAATCTCTAAGATAACTATTAAATCCGAGGTAGGATAAAAGATGATTGCAGGGGTTCTACCCTGACCATATTCTCCACTGATCTGTTGCTATTGACTTTGGGATCATGGAAAGAAAGAGAAGGGGAGACTGTTGAGGGAGAAAGAGGATGGAATGGGTTTGAGCCCACTGGGTTGGAGAATTAGATGTAGACATAGAGGACTTTTCCTGCCTCAAATCACTGGGGGCTGTTATAAGAGTTAATAGATGCCATTATTTAAAGGTATCTCTTGGTTAGCACTAGTGGAGCTAAGCAAGGATGCAAACATGAAGAAAATAATTTTATTTGAATTTGAAATGCATTGTGTGATTTTTTCCCCCTATAACAGATGGGTGGTCCTAATTATATTTTACTTAGGCTATTACTAAATTACTTTGTATCACCCAAATTGATATCTATTGTAGTGGAGGTAATTGGCTGAGGCATGAACTGGGAGACTGGGAAAGGAGAGTCTCCTATTTAACTTTTGCCACAGACAAGTCACCTGTGGATAATCAAGAGTTAATTGAATAATTCATAGGAAAAGTCAAATGCTGAATTTGTAAGCATTTCTCCAAAGAATATGAATGTTGTAGACCCTACCACTAAAAACTAAATCAAAACACTTTTATTCACATTAGCAGGTATGTTTGGCCCTAAATACCCAGACACCGGCCTGGTCTTTCTAATGGACTTGAGTGCTTCCGCCCCAGACATTAAAATGTTCTTGGGGCAGGGCAGTGGAGATTTTGTGGGAAGGAGGACATAAGTTTTGCTCATGGCCTATCTTTTTCAAAGCCTGTTTTGTGGAATTGACCATTTCCCCTTCAAACTGTTGGCCTCTATTTTCTTTGGAAGTCTGGTTCTATGGTTTGGACAAGAACAGACAACCAATGTCTCCTGGCTTGCTGACAGCCCATATGAGGTATGCCTATAAAATGGCACAGGCCACCAAATGTCCACTCTGAGGATGATACTACCTGGTAAAGACGGGCGATTTCCATGTGAACTACTGATGAGAAATGCTCCAGAGTAGGTACTGATCAACCTTCTTTAGTGTTTGAGGCACTTTTCTGAATGTCTTGGGGTAAAAACCATTTCCAGCAAGTTGCCAGTCTCATCTGGGTGTAAGGACAAGCCATGTTTTTTCTGCATATTTTCAATACACTCTCCTTGCAAAGTCTGCACGTGGAATCGTCTCAGAAGTGTAACCAGGATGACTTTCAGCATCACCATGGCGATGTACTTTCCTGCACAGCTACGGGGCCCAAAACCAAATGGCTGAAAATACCTGTAAGGAACCTATGAAAATGATCAGACAGTTAGCCAGAGTATTAAAGGCTAGAGTTATGCAGTCTCTGTTTGATTCACCCTGAAAACACTAATCAGTCAGAATGCTATTTCAGGGTCTAAACGTTGAGTGACTGTAACTCAAGTAAGCTCTTTTCTCCATCCAATGTGATTCACCCTCTGTGACATACACCCAGCCTTGGACAGTCCCCACTTTTGCTCTTTATGTTAATGTCCTGGGGTAAAGCAATTACGCACAATCTTATTATAGCCAGTGTTAGCATACTCAACTATCTCTGAGGGATGGTCACAGCTTTACTACTCTTCTGCATGTCACCAAGACAAAGATTGTTTTTGTGCAAAGATGTTGACTCCTGGCCTATTAGTGCCAAGCACCTAAATATTTTTAGTTATGCAAAAAATTAATGGAGATCACATCTGTCTGTCTTGTTCACATCTGTACTTACATACACCTGGCATTTAGTATATGCTTAATGAGTTTTTGTTGACCAATTGTCAACATAGCATGGGTTGTTCACATAGAAACAGAATGACCTAGAAAACTGGATTAATTAAGATCACATTTCTACATCATATGCAAATGGAAAAAGAGGGCAGTGAGGGAAATATCTGGATAATTTAGATTAATAAACATCATTGCCTAAAACTGGACATAATAGAAGCAGAATCTACAGTTTCCTTCAGTGAAAGGTGAAGCTCTTCTAATTACTGAGTTCTATTTAGAATGGGAACTACTGTTCATGGGGCCATTTGGTGAACCAAAGGCAGACTGCAAAAGCTAAATCTTTTAGTCTCATTCAATTTCCAACTGAGGCACAAGTGGCTTTCCTTTGCTTAGTTAGTGCGAGAGCTGAATCTACGTGATTACAAAGGGACAGGTTGAAATGGACAATGTTGTTTGGGTTAAACAAAATTTGCTTCATTGTAGCCAAATTAAGGGCCTGGATTTTTCAAGTTTTGACCCATTGTGTGGCTACATGTGGATACTTCTCAGAACTGGTGACCCAGCATCTTTGGCTTAAGGATGAATATGGTAGGCATGCTCTAAGGTAGGGGAAACGTGTGCTTCTGGTGAGGCAATACAGGGGAACAGTAAATAGGGTGAAATGTACAGGGTACAAACAGAACCAGAAAGGATTTAACGATTGACATTTTTAGGAGTGGCACACTCAGTTTTAAGGAAGAGTTCTTACATTCTTTGCAAAGTTTTCAAGAGTAAATTCATTGGGCTTGGGGAAAAACTCAAGTCTATGCATTCTTCCGATATTCAGGATAATGTTAGTCCCCTTTTTCACCGGATAGCCATCTATGACATCATCCTGTAAGGCTTTGCGCATGACCAAGTTCACAACAGGCTGGTACCGCATGCTTTCATAGATAAAGTTTTCCACCACTTTTAATTTTTGCATATCATCAATCCTTATTTCTCTTTCACCTGTGGGAGCAGATAAACAGGACAAGGAGTTAATGATAGTTTCAATATGTGTTGGGCATTTAAACTCCCATAGTTTCCACAGAATAGTTTGCTCCTGGTTGAAAAAAATTTCTTTCCATAATTCTTTTTCAAATAATTTTTTAAATGTTTATTTATTTTTGAAAGAGATAAAGAGACAGAGCATGAGCAGGGGAAGGTCAGGGAGTGAGGGAGACACAGAATCTGAAGCGGGCTCCAGGTTCCGAGCTGTCAGCCCAGAGCCCAACGTGGGGCTCGAACTCATGAACCGTGAGATCATGACCTAAGCAGAAGTTGGATGCTTAACTGACTGAACCACCCACGTGCCCCATTTCTTTCCATAATTCTAATGCAAATCAGCAAAAATGGCTTGGGCCAAATATGTCATGTTTGGTTCACAGAGTACTTTATAAAAATTCATATTTGAGGCCAATTACTATAAAACCTAGGAGATTTCATAGAAAAGCCTGGATTTCTAGAAAAATCAGGAAACCTGGTTATACTGGTCTCATATCCCCACATGGCAATGACAGACTGAACTTGAGTGGCCAATAAACCTTTAGAGGGGTATATACCTGCAGTATTTTAAAATTTTTATTTATTTTCAGAGCGCACAGTTGGGGGAGGGACAGAGAGAGAGGAGAGGCTCTGAGCTGTCAGCCCCAATGCAGGGCTCCATTCCACAACCATGAGATCATGACCTGAGCTGATATCGAGTTGGATGCCTAACCCACTGAGCCACCCAGGTGCCCTTACCTTCAGTTTTAGGTAGACCTACACAGTCTGCTTCAAACATTTGTCTGCCTGGCCTCTGAGGTCCTCAAATTTTGTCTCCTACTCTAAATTCTAGGGGACATTCACTCCTTCTCTAGTCAAAGTGAGGTGGTGAATTTAATCAGTTTCAATGACATTTTCTCCTCTGGTTACCTGTGCAGTCATCTGCCTGGAACACAAAACTGATAGTTCCTCTTCCCATCTGATCAGGAACAATCTATTGTGGTACAGAACACTTCTCCCTGCCACAGCAAAATAGGTGCCTCAGCTGAGCTCTGGCTGTGCTGGGGATTGACAGATACTCCCACTGTTTCAGATTGGCCTGACACTGGTCAGAGAGGCTTAGATTACTCCCCAAACTGGCAAAGCTTCAGAGTGTCCTCACATGGGTTACCACTTTTACAGAATCAAAATCAGCCCAGGGTCCTGAGGCAGCTCTCTGTCCTATACAGCTACACCATTCAGGAAAGGTCTCTTTTGGTCAGAGAACTCTAACTGCCCTGCCCCTTGCCTCTGGCTCTTTGTAGGGTCTAATGGGGTACATTTATCTGGGGTGGAGAAGTAGAAAGGAAGATGACAGAGAAGGTAACCAAAGGCATTCCCTAGGAAGTAATTACTATGTGAGTATGTCTAGAGGGAACACGAACACATGTACAAATGGTTCAGCTGTTTCCCATCTTTGCTGAGGTTTGTTGAAGCGTCAGGGGGACATCATGAGGCACAAGCACTTTTCACATCTCAAGGAAGTTGAATTAAAGGCTCATGGTTTCAAGAGCAATTTGCCCCTTGTCGCCTGAACTCCATCATTCTATGGCTCTCTCTTTAGTCCACTGGGCTTGCTTGTTAAGTTCTCTTTCTCCTGCCAGCCTGTGAGCCCCACAAGTGTAGGAAAGCTGTAGCTTATTCACTGTTGTGCCACTTCACCTGACCCAGAACCCATAACCTGACAGGGGGCATGTGAGAAACCATTCCGGAATTTGGAGCTTGGATGTTATTCTGGCTTCCTGTTACCTATCTTCCCAGGCAATTTCCCACCTACTACAATGCATCTGTAGACCCCTTATGTCACAAATTTAACCCTTTATGAAATTTCCCCTTACTGTCAACTATTTCAAGCAGCACTCAAATGGCTTTAAAAAGATGGTGCCTCTCTACAACCAATAAGTTGCTTCACAGGAATCACTTAAGGTCAAGAGAGAAAAGTGTCATTACTGATACTTCTTTACATATGTCAGAAATGTGTTCTTTAAAAGATCATCCATGCAAAGGACATTCCAAACAAGGAATTCTGTTGTTGTTTGTTTGTTTGTCTGTTTGCTTGTTTGTTTGTTTGAGGGGGGAGGGCCGAGAGAGGGAGAGAGAGAATCCCAAGCAGGCTCTGCATTGTGGGGTTCAATTCCACAAACTGCAAGATCATGACCTGAACCAGAATCAAGAGTTGGAGGCTTAACCAACTGAGCCACATAGGTGCCCCAGGAATTCTGTTTTTTCCCCAGAAAGCAATTCTGACTTCTTTCAAATGTGACACTGTTTCTGTGGAAGGGTGGTGGTGTCAGGATCAATGAGCAGAATGATGCTTAAGCAAAAGCAGAGCAGGGAAGACTAGTGTAGGGAAGAGCTGAGGAGGAGGAGAGAGCAGGGAGAGGAAGGGTCCAACATCACTGGATTTCGGGGGAGAGGGAAGCTGATCAGTCTCCTGCCTTTGCTGTCATCCTTTCCTTGTCCTTCTGCTACTGATTGTAAGTTCATTTGTGGACAGACTGCTTGAAACCCAGAAACACTGCTATAGATGACAGCTGGTTCCCTGGGTGAACTCACAAAAGCCTTTTGCCACTGATAAGGTAGGCAGAACATTGTATTTGCTCTTTAAGCAGATACCATGTATCATTAAGCAGACAAATACAACCATACAAATGTGTTTATGTGCAGGTTAAGAAAGACCTTGAAGAACACACAGTAAAGTATTAACAGTGGTTTCCCTGGGGAATGCAAATGAGGCTGGGGAGGAGAGTGGGAGGGATCAGGGAATGTCCCTTTCTGCTTTTCTATATCTGTTATTTAAATTTTTTCAATGAGAATGCATTATTTTTATAATGAAAAAAACACACAGAAAGAACTACCTTTTCAACCTATCTGGCATAATCAAAGTGTGGCAAAATGGCTACTTTTATTGTTCTTTGGGTGGGTTATAATATTTTGTTTGAAATCTGACACTTAGGACATAAAAAGCTGACATTTAGAAGGAATTATTTTCTAAGCTCTTTTATTATTTGACCAGTTCTTACCAACGACAGTCTGTATTTCCTTCATTATTGCCTCTTCAACCTTAGGGTGCTTTGCAATAAGAAAAAGCATAAAAAACACAGAGACAGACATGGTGTCTGGTGCTGCGATCAGCATTTCCAGTATGCATTGGTTCACATTCTCTTTTGTCAGGTCACCACGTTTCTGAACAATTGGAAGAAGGGGAAAAAATTGGAAAAGTGAATCAAAGCTTCAAAAAAGGAGGGGAAGATACAGTTAGGATCAAAAAACATCAACAAAATGAAGTCATAAATATTATGTCTCTGTAATTGACTATGGGCATTTTTCATAAAAATCTTCAGCCAAAGGTTAAAAATTTAACCAATTATCTGTGTGTTTGCTGTCTTTGGGCTCCCCCATTTTCATATTTTGTATTGTGCACACATGTAGTTTCAGTCTTAAAGGTCAGTCTTACCGGAATGTTGAATGAGTGGATTGTTTGGGTTATCATTATAGAAGTATTAGAGCAAATACTTAAAAGCATAAGTATGCAACAATTACAAGAGGGAATCTTTACACAGCCTATACACAAACAGTCATACACATATGTTACGTGGGAATTATGGTTAGTCTGGGTCAGTACCTCAGCAAAAATCAACTCAGTGGCAAAATCCATACAGTCTTCCAGTTTCTCTGCTGTGGAAATTCTGTGTCTTTTCTCTTCTATTAGAATTTCCATGGCATCTTTCAAATCCTTGCTAAGGAAAAAAAAAAAAGAAAATATAATCTATTTGTACTCGGTTAAGGCATCTAGGAAAACAGATTCATTTGCCATTTGTTTAAATAAAATTATCTGCTTAAGTTGAAGCCATTAGCACTAATAACTGAATTTAAACTTAATTCTTCATAAATATCCTTAAATTGCATATTCATTATACTTCATGTTAAGGAACCAAATTTAGCTAAGATGTCTAGGTACTGGTAGCAAAATTAAGGCTGTAACCTCTAGTTAAATGTTAAAAGCTGGTACCAAAATGGTCAATCCAATCATGTTTTCTGATCCTTGACTTGGCCAATGCAGTGTTTAAATTGAAAACCAAAACTGAAAAACAGTGAATGTCTTTAGTAAGGGCATGCCCTCTCCAGTTTGGCTACAGGTACCTTCACTTCCTGTTGACTTGTATCTACCCGGCCCACTTCTATTGGCCCAGCCCTGGGAACTACTGAGTTTGAGACTTTCTGTTCTAGCAAGAAAACACAGGTGATCAAGTATTATTCTTGATATTTCTTCTCAAACTTTCCAGTTTCTGTCACATAGTAAACATGAAGTAAATGCTTACTGACTGACTAGCTGCATAAGCATGTATAGTACATGCATTTTGACAGTGTGGTAGAGGGAAGAGCACTTTGGAAAGAGAGGGCCAGCTTCTAGTCTGGATTCTTCTTTTTTTATGGAACCTACTTTTAAGTCTCTTAAATCTCTTTTATTTATTTTTTTTTTTTACTAAATTTTTTTTTAATGTTTATTTTTGAGAGAGAGAGAGACAGAGTATGAGCAGGGGAGGGGCAGAGAGAGAGGGAGACACAGGATGCCAAGCAGGCTGCAGGCTCTGAGCTGTCAGCACAGAGCCCAACATGGGGCTCAAACCCATGAACTGTGAGATCATGATCTGAGCCGAAGTCAGACAGCCAACCAACTGAGCCACCCAGGCACCCCTCTTATATCTCTTTTAAAGTGAAGAGCTCAGACTCAATGAACAATAAGTCCATCTTAAGATCTAAATACTGTTATTCTGACCTTTGTCTTGAAGTGTATGTGTTCATGTGTAAGTGTATGGTTCCCCAACCTCAGGGAATGGTATTCTGCCTTACATTAAATATACAATAAATCTTTCTTTCAAATTCTTGTTGACATGGTCACCTGTACACCCTGTTGATGATGCTGACATAAATAGCTGTGTGTTTACTCCAGCTCAGCAGCAAAAGTAAAGGAAGATTCTTTAAGATCCCTCCCATTTTTAAAGTTTTTTTGGGGCATCTCAAAGAAGGTGTTTAAACATTTGAAGAGGTATTCTTCAGGCTAGTAGAGTAATTGTGTCATTCTAAACGAGGATGCCATCTATCGTGTATCTCTGTAAGTGTGCCTATAGATACACACATACCTCCAGATATACACCAAGGATATATTCACATTCATTTATTCATTCATCTACTAATCCATTTATTCAGCAATATTTTTTGAGCAACTCTTACAGACTAGAGCCAGATATTCACTTAGTTGGTGAGCTATAAATGCTCATAGCATTCCTACCTGAGCAATGGCCCCCAAATATTCTGTGAGTTGTTGAAATGCCCTTAGACTATGAATTCATAGAGAATTCCTTGATGGGACTGCATCCACTTCTGAACATATGCCTCCACCCGGGGCCAGAATCATGGGCCTGTGAATACCCTTTGGGATCCTTCTTATTCAGGTTAAAAGCTGACCAGCTTTTACATAAATGTAGGCATATGAATTTATATACCCTTAAAAATTAGGAGAATTGTGTTCAGTGACAGTTTTCAGGGAATAGGTAATCTCTGACTTACAAGCATATATTAAAAGAATATATCTGTGAGTCTGTGGTTTGGCACTCTGAGAATATTTTGTGCCAAAACAAGGGTGGCTAGTTTATCAGTCCAGGCCACAGCACCTACTTAAGATATTCTGTGGTTAAAAAGCCTTAAACTTGCCAGAATAAGAAGTAGAAAACAATACTTCTGTAATTAAGATAAGCAGAAATATAAACTTGAATAAATAGGGATGGGAGTAGATGTCCTAGAATCCTTTCCATCAGTATATTTCTAAAAAGTATTGGCATGACAGAGAAAGACAAATATTATATAATCTAATTCATTTCTGTGGAAAAAGAGGCAAAGAAGGGGAGTGACATAAAGCATGCTAAAGGAAATAATAAGAGAATAATAAATTCATCTATATGTGGAATCTTAAAACAAAAAAAACCCATAGTTCTTAGATACAGAGAAGAAATTGGTGGCTACCAGAGGTGAGGGATAAAAGTGGGCAAAATGGATGAAGGGGGTGAAAAGGTACAAAGTTCTAGTTATAAAATAAATAAGTCATGGAGATGTAATGTACAACATGGTGACTATAGTTAAAAATACTGTATTGCATATTTGAAAGTTGCTAAGAGAATAGATCTTAAAAGTTTTTATCACAAGAAAAAAATTTTGTAACTAGATATAATGGTGATTATTTCACAACATATACAAATATTGAGTCTTTGTGTTGTATACCTGAAAGTAATATAATGTTATATGTCAATTATACCTCAATTTAAAAAAAAGCACTGGCATTATTGTAATGGACATGGATGGGGGAGAAGATTAAAAGATTTCTCTAGGTCTTTACTGCTCCAGGACATAGGATATATAGATGAATACACTAACCATTGGCAAATATTACATAGAGAGAGAATGTTGCTGAGCTAATTTCTGTAGAAAACTATGAGAAACCATTATACAATTTCATGCAATATATTTCTATGGCTTGCTGGCCAAAACCAAAGCTAAACTAATGACCAGGAACTATGAAAAGAGACTCTTCAGACCACTGGCAACTTTGACCATAGTGAAGAGGTGAATCTATTATCTCATTGATTCTAGTCACAAGAAGCTCTGGTGGAAACTAAATGAAATGTATAAAGACCCAAGCATCTAAATCACCCACCTAATACTCATCAACCACATGAAACTATATAAAGCAACATCAAGTTGGCTTCCTCCCTAACATTGTTATTAAATTTAAATACACAAACAGGATAAAGTTGGGGCTTCAAACAAGTTTGGGAACTTTTAGAGATGGAGAATTTAGGATGGTTAGAGACATGTGGGGGAAGATCTGAACAAAAGGAAGGGGAACATATTTAGTGCCTTCTATGTGCCATCTTCTGTGTTAATTGCCCTACATATAGGATCTCATTAACCTATATCCCTACCCTGGAAGGTAGGTAATATTTTACTTTAAATAACTTCCCAAGGCCGTTTAGTTACTAAGTAGTAGAGACAGGATACAAACCAGGTGTGTCTGCCTCTAGATCCCATGGGCTTTTCACTGGTGGTGAGAGAGGGCAGTGTTTAGTGGCTGGCTACTTACACTCTAAAAACCTACTGATTGGCCTATAGGCCATTGGGCACTCGTCCAGTTTTGAGCTAGCCTAGTCTATAACCAAAGCAAAGCCATTTAATGACCATTTCAGGATCCCCCAAAGATATAATATATATAACTAAAAAAAGAAAATCACACATTTCATTGAAGTTCATTATAGTCATTGTGAAAAAATTCTTTTGAGACTACGATCAATTCCTACAAGTTGAATTCTGTTAAATTTGTTCAGAAGTAACACAACTATAAAATGATCTTGTGTTTCCTTTTTCCAGATATGCAAAGGGAATTTTGACAGAGAATAATGGTAGGTTCAGCCAACCCTTCTCATCAACTCAAAATACACTGTGGTGTCCTACTTCCAGAGATGGGGCTCCCAGACCACCCACTCGGCCCCCTTGCTGAAAAGCTGCCTGGGCCAAAGGCTTCTCTTACTCTTTGGTCTGGCCATACACAGCCAAATTGCTGTAAGAAGTGTTTCATCAGCAACTTAATCCACAGCTCCCTTGTGGGCTCTGAAGAGCAGACAGCTAGCTGAAGAGGCCAACAATAGCAAGGACACAACCCCAAATCAATCCAAACTCACTGATAAGTTTTCCAAACTTGTGTTACTTACACAGACTTTTCATATTTTCTGTATAGCCAAGAAATCTTAAAGAAGATGTCTGGTTTGAGAAGGAGAGCTTGCCACGCATCAAAATAACCCTGGATTTTAACCACAATGGCACTTTCTGGAAAAACAAAACAAAAGAGCAGAGTAGTTGAGCAAAAATGTGAGCCCAAGGAGGGTATTTTGAGAAGAGAAGATCCCTTGTATAGAGTCTTTTATCAGCCTGGGGTTCTAAGCTAGGCAAGGTCCCCACTTTCATTGGTGTTTCAGCCATGTGAATGCCACTAGTCAAATAAACATTAATTTATTCTGTTTGGCATCTAAATTAACAAAATTAAGTAGAGATGTGCCACTTTTCAAGTTCGTGTTAAAGACCTAACCTAGAATGTCACATGCCCTTCTTTGACTGAGTGTCCAACTCCTTCCTGTGTTTTTGGACAATGGGAAATAAGAGGGGCACGAGTAGATATGGCCGTCATTGGCCTCAATTCTGGCACCTGGGAGTGCAAAAAGCCATGCCACTTTCCTGTTTACATTTTGGTCCAGAGTATAGAATTCATCTTGGTATCTCTAATGTCTTGCCCTGAGCCTCATGCATAGTCAGCTTTTTTTTAATGTTTATTTATTTTTGAGAGAGAGAGAGAAAGAGAGAGGGAGAGAGAGAGACAGCGCATGAGTGGGGGAGAGGCAGAGAGAGAGAGGGAAACACAGAATCCAAAGTAGGCTCCAGGCTCTGAGCTGTCAGCACAGAGCCTGACATGGGGCTCAAACCCACCAACCATGAGATCATGACCTGAGCCAAACTGGGATGCTCAACCGAGCCACCCAAGTGCCCCCATAGTCAGCTTTTAATGAATGTCCTTTAATTACATTGAATGCTAGGGGAAAGAAAACCTCTGCTTTTTCAAATTGTACAAAAAAGAAGGGGATAGAGATTTATTTTCAACCGCTAAATACCAGTCACCATGCAAAGTGTTTTAAAAAAGAGACCTCATTTAATCCTTACAATCTTGTTTGGGGGCGGGGGGTGTCATCACTTTTTCAGATGAAGAAACTGCAGTTCATAGAAACTAGGAAGCTTGCCTAAAACCATACATCCAGTGTGATAGGCAGGTCCTTACGCTGGAGCCCGGTTCTATATGACCTCAGAGCAATGTTCCTTCCTCTTTGTTGTACTGGCTCCCTCAGGCAAATTGAGAGTTTAACAAGGGTGGTGTGTGGAGAAGAGGAACAAACATAACTCTGCATGGATTATGCAGGTTCCTAGCATCACAGCCCATATCCCTAGGTTAACCTATCCCTAGGTTTACAATTCCCTTTATTTCATCCTTCCTAAGAACCAAGGCTAACAGGGAACTATGAAGCAGGGACTTATAAAATATGCACTTGCCTAACCTTAGGAGAGACGCATGTAGGACAGGCCAGCTGGGATTAGAGGGGATGGATCAGGCAAGGGGTGTGACTGAAAATAGAGTGAATGGGGGTCCCATCCAAATGACAGTCAGATGAGGTGTCTATGACTCTTGAAGGGAGTATAAACAGCAGGGGACGTGGGCAAGCAGAGCTGGAGAAGAGAAAAGGAAGGCTTATAGCTTATCTGCTGGTCCAAATGTGGCGAAGTAGGCAGCAGGTGTTATAGCTCAGCTGGTTTTGGCAAGTGTTAAAAGTAGGCCCCGGGGTCGCCTGGGTGGCTCAGTCGGTTAAGCGGCTGACTTTGGCTCAGGTCATGGTCTCACAGTTCATGAGTTCAAGCCCTCTGTTGGGCTCTGTGCTGACAGTTCAGAGCCTATAGCCTGCTTCACATTCTGTCTCTCCCTCTCTCCCTGCCCCTCCCTCGCTCACACTCTGTCTCTCTCTCTCAAAAATAAATTAAAAAAAACACAAATTTTTTTTTTAAGTTGGCCCTGTTCTCATGCCTGTAATGTTCTTCTCTCAAATCTGGATGAGGCTCATGGTCTCACTTAACATTTAGGCTTATGTTCTGGTGTCCTCTCTGCACAGGCCTTTCTGGACAACCCTCTCTGTAATAGCCACATATGCTTCCGCCATGGTACCTACTTCTTCACTTTCTAGCCCCTTGCTCTGTTTCTTCTTCAAGACTCCTATTATTTCCTGATTCATTATTAGATATTTACTTGTTTACTGTTTATATTGGCACTGAGAGGTGAGCTCCTTGAAGGCGAGGACTTTATCTGTCTTGTTTACCTCTCTATCCCCAGAACCTAGAACAGTGCCTGGCAGAAAATAGGCAATTTACAAATATTTTTTGAATGAATGCATGAATCAATGAATATACTAGAAATTCAGGAAAAATTACATTAAGCTGGACAACAGCATAATGGAATTAGCCCAACTGATTAATGTTTATTTTTGATGGTGATAGAGTTCCATGTATGTGTTTTAATATTTGTTTCTGAAGTACAGTGAAGAGAGTAGCTTTTTGAGTGAAACAACTTTCCAGAGTTGTTATAAATGCTAAATGACAAACTATGTGTAGAGCAACTTTTTATAGTAGATATTAAATTAATGGTAGCTATTTTCATCATTTCCAGCAGCAGAAGCAGCAGCTCCAGCACCATTATCATCCTATAGACAGAGTCAAAGTTTTCATGCTTAGTAGCTTCGAGGGAGGAGTGTGTATGTATATTTATGTATATATGTATGTGTATGTGTGTATTTGTGTGTGTGTGTGCACACACGTGCACGCCCAAAAGAATGGTTGGCAATGGTTAAATATACCAGTTTGATTGGTGGTAGGGTATATTAATGACCAAATGAACTGGTCACACTTGTTAAGTTTTGACTATGGATAGAATCATATTTCCCAGAGCAATGAAGAGCGATCAAAAGAGGAGATGGCCCCTACTTACAGAAACTTATCTTATAAATGAACATGGCACACACTAGGAAAAAAAAAAATCTTAAGAAAACTTAGAGATGTTTAAATAAGAGCAATGTAAAAAACAGCATATCTTTCCTTGAGTCTGTTTTCCCCTTCATCTCCATGTTCAATAAAAGGCAGAATGTCAGTTCTCAAATACCGTCCAGTGGGATCCCCAGGAAGAGCATGTTAGAGGTGTCTAGCATGATGCGCCTCATGAGGGTCAACACGTCGATGTAACCCAGTTCGTTGGTGACCTCCTCCAACCTGTCCAGATGTGTTATGATGGATTCAACACAAATTGTCACCATGCGCACGAGTCCAGGGCCAGACAGAGCTGAGGAGAACACATCAGAGAGTGAGCCACCATGAACTCAGGGGGCATACATAATCAGGATATTTTGGCTTTTTATGTTCAGGGTTTAACTGTACATAATTTTTTTTCAGTAACTAGGTTGAAATTTTCATGTTCTTTTTTAAAATACTTTTCTGCATTCTCCTGATTTTCTACAAGCATGCATCACCTTCATGGTTAAAAATAAATGAAAGAATGTATGGGAGAACCTGGGTGGCTCAGTCGGTTACACGTCTGACTCTTGATTTTGGCTCAGGTCATAATCTCATGATTTGTGAGATCCAGCCCCATGTTGAGCTCTGTGCTGACGGCATGTGGCCTGCTTGGGACTCTCTCTCTCTCTGTCTCTCTGCCCCTCTACCACTTGCTCTCTCTCTCTCTCAAAATAAATAAATAAACATTAAAAATTTTTTAAAATGAATGGATGCACGAAAACCTTATTTTAAACAAAATATTCAAAATTAAACTTTTCTTCGTGTTATTGCAAATCATTTGTGATATTGCAATTGAAAAATTTGGTATTGTGGTCATTAATCACAAATCAGTGGTTTTCCATATTTATTGTATATATCTCCCTCTAAGGAAGGTTTGGATTTGGCCAGGGTGATATTTATTTTATGTTTCAACAGGTGGCAGGGTACTGTTCTAGAACTATGCCAATTGGACCTTAACTATTTGATCTAAAGTGCTTCCTGTTAATTGTGGTTTATATGTTGACAATGCTAGTCTTATAAATTACCAAAAGTGTTCTTCTCTTAATTTTGATTTCTCTTCAAATGACTTCTAAATTTGTTTTACTCAACGAACATCATGACAGCTAAGCACCAGTCTTCCTCACTGGCTGGGATTTCTTTAAGGGCAGTGACAGCCTTCTATTAGCACTGTCCTTCAAGTCCACACAGGACATGGTAGCCTTCAAATCATATTGGTCAAATAGAGGAATGAATTAATGAATGAATGAGTGAATGAAAGAGTGGGTGAATAGTTGAGTGAAGACAGGTGGTGTGAATTGGCTCTGCCTACCAGCTAGTGGATCCTGGTGGCAGGTCAGATCCGGTCATGAATCAGCTCCGGTCATGAACCCAGGGTCATGGGATTGAGAACCGTGCTGGTCATGGAGCCTGTTTGAAATTCTTCCCCCTCCTCTCTTTCTCTCTTTCTGTCTCTCTCTGCCCCTCCCCCCACTCATGTACTCTCTGTCTCTAAAATAAAATTTAAAAATATTAAAAAAATATCAGTTGCACAACAGAAGCTTCTGCAGGCAGACTTTGCAAATAAGCAAGGAAGCCTGGTAAGCAATTGTAGATTCATAAAATTTATACTTATGGATGAAAAAGAAGGTTGGGGGTGCCTGGGTGGCCCAGTTAAGCATCCGACTTCGGTTCAGGTCACAATCTTATGGTTTATGAGTTCAGGCCCTGCATTTGGCTCTGTGCTGACAGCTCAGAGCCTGAAGTCTGCTTTGCATTATGTGTCTTCCCTCCCCCAGTCACACTGTATCTGTATGTCTCTCTCTCTCAAAAATAGACATTAAAAAAATTAAAAATAAATAAATACAAAAGAAGGTTGGGTTGGTAGCATACTTTCTGACTGTAGGAAATACTTGGCAGATATGAAAGGTCAGCATGTTGTTCTTTGGGTGATTATCACATTCACAAGTGAGACAAATGATTTCTGAATGACTCAGCCCTTTGTGTGGAGCAGTTGACTTCAAATATCACTGGTGGTTTTCTCCCAGATAGATGTTGATTTAACTCTACATCCAAGAGCTTAAAGCCACATTTCAAATATATAAGCAAAATGTAATATCATTGCTTATAGTCAGTGGTATGATGTAGAGATTATTTTTATTTTTAAGTATTTTAAAATGTTTATTTATTTATTTTGGGAGAGAGAGTGCAAATGGGAGAGGGGCGGAGAGAAAGGAAGGGAGAGAATCCCAAGCAGGCACCGTGCTGTCAGCACAGAGCCCGATGCAGGGCTGGATCTCACAAACTGTGAGATCATGACCCGAGCCGAAATCAAGAGTCGGATGCTCAACCGACTGAGCCACCCAGGTGCCCAAACTTTAATTTTTTAAATGTGCTAAAAAGTACTGAGTCTTATCCAGGTTAAACAAAAGTGAGCAAGAAATCAGCATAATTCTGTCACTATGGACAAGTCTCTTGGCAGTTTCAGGAAACACAGGCTATTTTTTGCCCCTCAACCTTCATCTCTCCAGGATGGGCCATTGCCTGGGCTGCACTTCACTACTTCTCCATAGATATGTCCAGGGGGTCAATGCCTTCCTTAATGTTACTACTTAGATACCAAAATTACTCCCAAATTTCTGCTATATCAGGAAAACTAACGAGAAGTGTGACTCTAAAAGGAGATTCATTCTTTTAGAGCTTGGGACTCTAACAGATTATTAAAAATGTCAGACACAACAGTGAACTTTTCATAAGCAATTCAGCCTCTATTTTTGGCATTTCATCTGGGGAATTTTGTAATGTTTTTTATTAGACAATCTGATCTTTTATATACAGGGCTTATCTAAAAATATGTCATAAGGATTGTTTTGATTGCTTTCCAAGTGCTATAGATTCTACTCTTTTAACATCTCTTACACTGATGACTTCCCTTCTGCACACCCTTTATCACTACAGTAGCTCCCAACATCTTTCACTGTTCACAGTCATGCCTCCTGTCAATTAAACGTTCATTCTGCTACCAGAGGAATTTTTGTAAAACACAAATATGTTCATGTCATTCTGCTTAAAATCTTAAATGATTTACTGTAGCTTTCAGAATAAGCTCAGTTCAGTGCCTTCCCCTGGGCCTCATGCCTACATGGATCTATGCCAGGTACAAGGGCCTGCTTACAGTTCCCTGGACATACAGTACTGATCTACCCTTCCCTGTTTTGGAGTATCCTGTTCTTTCCTTCTGTGGAATGTGTCCTCATCAAACTTTCTTAATTTAGGTAGCTTTTACCTTCTTTCAAAACTTATCATAAGCATCCATTCCTCAAAAAGCCACCCATGACCCCTCAGTGTACTTTAATGGACCAATTTTTTCTGTGCTCTGTGGTGCTGTGCACACAACTCTAGCATAACACATCACCTAGGATGATATTTGGTGATATATTGATCTGCCACTCTGCTCCTCCCCCCCATTATAAATTCCTTGGGGGCATGAACCATGTATTGACTAACATCATATTCTGGGCACCTAGTTCAATGATGAGAACACAGTAGTTTGTTAAACAAATGGATGAGTTTAGAAAATTCTGTTAATTAAAAACAATTTTTAGGGGTGCCTGGGTGGCTCAGTTGGTTAAGCATCCGACTTTGGCTCAGGTCATGATCTCACGGTTCATGAGTTCGAGCCCCGCATTGGGCTCTGTGCTGACAGCTCAGAGCCTGGAGCCTGCTTCGGATTCTGTATCCCTCTCTCTGACCCTCCCCTGTTCATACTCTGTCTCTCTCTGTCTCAAAAATAAATAAACATTAAAAAAAATTAAAAAAAATTTTTTTAATTCTATTAATTTTTGGGGCACCTAGGTGGTTCAGTTGGTTAAGCGTCTGACTTCAGCTCAGGTCATGATCTCACAGTCCATGAGTTCGAGCACCACGTCAGGCTCTGTGCTGTCAGTTCAGAGCCTGGAACCTGCTTTGCTTTCTGTGTCTCCCTCTCTCTTTGCCCCTCCCCCACTCATGCTCTGTCTCCGTCAAAAAAATGAATAAATGTTAAAAAAATTTAAATTCTATTAATTTTTGCATGGCAAGGTAAACCATGTTGGTATGTGAGAGTTAATTGCTCCTAAACACTAGTTCACATATTCCTAATGCACCTGGGCCAAACAGCAAAGTAAAATAAAACTTACATTTCAAATCTTGTCATTTGCAACAACATGGATGGACCTAGAGGGCATTACGCTAAATGAGGTAAGTCAGAGAGAAAAAGACAAATGCCACATGATTTCACTTTATATGGAATATAAAGAACAATACAAATGAACAGACAAACAAAAAGTAACAGACCCAAATACAGAGAACAAACTGGTGGTTGCTAGAAGTGAGAGGGGGTGGGGATGGGTGAAATAGGTGAAGGGGATGAAGAGGTACAAACTTCCAGTTATAAAATAAGTAAGTCATGGAGATATAATGTACAGCATAGGGAATATAGTCAATAATATTGTCACATCTTTGTATTGTGACTACACTTATCGTGGGGAGCATTTCATAACATATATAATTGTTGAATCACTAAGTCATATACCTAAACCTAGTATAATATTGTATGTCAACTATACTTCAACAAAACAAACAAAAACCCCCCACATTTCTATAGGGTCTTACAGCATTATTTCACTTATTCATCACAATAACTCTAGAATTAATATTCTGTGGTATCACCTTTTGTGGAGAAAGAAACGGAAGCTCAGAGAGGTTGAATGACTTGTCCAAGGTCGCATAGCTAGTAAAGTGGCAGAGCTAGGACTTGGACCCACCATTTATAATCCTGAGTCCTATACTCTTTCCATTAATCCAGTCTGCAGTTTTGTAAGGTATCAGAGTATTGAACTGCCCAACACAAGTGATAGGCAGGGTAATAGCCCCCTAAAGCTTCTCAGGTGCTAATCCCTGGAACCTATTAATATGTCACTATTAATATGTTACTGTGGATTATCTGGGTGGGCCCAACCTAATTACATGGGTCCTCAAAAGCAAAGAACCTTTTCTAGCAGCCTTTAGAATCAGAAAGTGATGTGATGAAAGAAGGATGGTCTAGGAGATGTGATATAAAAAGGACTCAACCTGCTGTTGCTAGCTTTGAAGACAGAGGAAGGAGCCACAGGCCAAGGGATGCAGGTGGCCTCTGAAGCTGGAAAAGACAAAGAAACAGGTTCTCCTCTGGAGCTTCCAGAAACACAGCCCAGCCAACGCCTCGATTTTAGTCCATTGAGACCTATGTCAAACTTTTTATCTATAGAACTATAAGATAACTGATATGTTGTTTTAAGTCATTAAGTTTGTGGCAATTTGTTACAGCAGCAATAGGAGACAAATACAGTGGAGTCCACAATAGAGTTGTACCGAGTCTTGGTGATGGACAACTCTGTAGAGGGAATCAGTGCTCAACTGGGATAGGCATAGATTCTCCCTATCTCAGCAGCACATGGGAGGCATCCAGGTTCACTACAGAGGCTGGCTAGAGGGAAGAATATTGATGGTGGAAGGTCAGACATAAAATCTATCTAGCCCCGTATTCTATCACTGAAAATGGTTCCAGGACATGATTATCTTCATTGATGTTGATGTCAAAGACTGGTCATGTATATTCCCCAACCTCTTCATTTCCAGCAAGATATAGTAAAGGGGAAAATCACTAGATAAGGAGACTTGGGGTGGGGTCTCTGCTTATTTATTACTTACTATGTTGCCTGGGCAAAAATCGCAACCTTTCTAGGACTGTATTTTCTCAACTATAAAATTCAGAGGCTTAACAAGATGACATATACAGTCCTTCCTAGTTCTACAATTCTCTAAGTTTTATTCACAAACTGTTTTCTGTTAAAACATCTGGAATGTTAGTCAGTGATCTAGCAAGCACATTGTTTGGCTGTGTTTAAATCAAACATGTGACTGACACACTATATTCTTACTAAATTTTTTTTTTAACGTAAGCTCTATGCCCAGCATGGAGCCCAATGTGGGTCTTGAACTCACAACCCTGAGATCAAGGCTCCAGACACTTAACCAACTGAGCCACCTAGGTGCCTACACACTAAATTCTTTTTTTTTTTTTAAGTTTATTTATTTATTTATTCTTAAAGTTTATTTATTTTTGAGAATGAGCATGTGTGCATGCCTTTGCGTGCATGATGTGCATGAGCACTCAGTGGGTGGTGTAGGGATGGTGGAGAGGGACAGAGAGAGAGAGAGAGAGAATCCCAAGCAGGCTTCCTGCTGTCAGGGTGGAGCCTGAGGGGAGACTCAGCCCCACGAACTGTGAGATCATGACCTGAGCCCAAATCAAGAGTTGGACACCTAACTGACTGAGCCATCCCTTCCACACTAAATTCTTAATTGAAGTGATCCTAAGTGTAGAGCTCCATCTCTTCTTCATGTCTATGAAATTGCTTTGTGCATCAACAGGAAGAACAGAATTTGTGGTGGTTAAAAATGCAGGCTCTGGGGTTGTCTCCTGGGCCACTCTTTACTAATATTGGGACCTTTGGGTAAGTTACTTCACCTATGTAAACTTCAGTTTTCCCATTTGTAAAATGTAGGTGATAAGAGTGTGTACCACATGGGGTTGCTGTGGGATTAAAATATCAAGTGCTTAGAACAGTTCCTACCATATCTTATTATTTCAAAATAAGTGAAGTGGCAAAATTTAAATTCCAAAATAGTGGGCACATTTTTAGACAAAAGAGCAGAATGTAGCCAGCACCTGATTACCTTTTGTAAAGAAAGGTCGAACGGCTTTCCAGAGGGTTGGATTGTTGTTAAATATGATGCCATTTTCATGCATGCCGATGCACTGCAACCCAAGTTTGCTGCCGAATCGGGAGCTGTAGTGACTGTGTTTCATTACATGGACCATACTTGAGGACCTGCAGAGACAGCAAACCTTAGTGTGAATTTGTAAGGGTTAAGAGAACTCATCGTGATGATTTTGATACCAGGTGACTCTCTTAGCAAATGCATGTTGATCTAAATGCAGTGCATTCTAGAATTCATATTGAATAAACACTTCTGTTAGTGGAAGAACATCCCTCTCCAGTCGAAATACTTCTACCTCCTGACACCCTGCTTGAGCACCACGAAAGATAGAACACACACACACATACATACACACACACACACACACACACACACCATTCTTTATTTCCCTCTTTTCTAATTCCAAGTCATTAAAATACTACCCACAACTGGGATCAGAGCTGCAAGGCTTTGAGAAGCCAAGCCCTCCACTCCACCAGAGGGTCCCGAGAGCCTCCAGCCCCACTCCAGACAGCACCACCCTCTACAGGAGTGAGTCTCGGAATCCAGAGTTCCTGGAATTGCTGATGTCATCTTCATTTGGAACCAGTAGTCTGGCCTTGTACCATCTATCCCCAGAGTCTCTAATCAGGCCTGGACCCTCCGGTGGGTATCATTCTGGGCTTGAAGGACACCTCCTGGTCACTCCAGGCTCTGGGCTTAGCTGGCTGGGCTGGGCCTTGACAGCTGTCTGTGGTGGTGACAGCAGCTATCCTGGGGCTCTGCATTCCATCCTGACTCATCAGGGTCTCCAGGGTCACAGAGTTCTCTCAGGATATAGGACATGGTGAGCCATTAGATAGCCCTTGAGGTAGCAGCACTGGGACCTTGCCAACAGGCTTCCCTGAACTTCTCAGCTCCTCCTCACTGTTTTGCCTCCATTCTGCACCA